ATATATATATATATATATATATATATATATATATATATATTTTAGGGATTGTCTACAAAGACATTATTTATCTTTTGTACAAGAAGGTTACAATCATTTTTGTCCCTTAAATTTCAAAATGGACGATTGTAAAAGTTTCATTGGATAGGCACAAAGTTCCAAAATAACAATCCTTGGACTTCATGACTCACCCTAAGCTATCTAATTTGACATCTAATGAGTGTGGATGATTGTCACCGCTATGTATAATATTACTTCAATATTCAGCTTTTCTTTACAATTTTCATCTATTTTTAGCTAATTCTGACTAAAAACATGTGATTTTCAGCAAGTTACTTTGAATAAAGTAAAACAAACATTTTAAAAAAGATAAACTTAAAAAGAAAATTTCCAATAAGCTTATCCCCAATAACTTTTACGAGGTATGCTATTAAACAACAAATAATTTGGTATCAACGTTAACTTTACTAAAAACAATGAATTATAAGTGATAACAGGTACATCTAAACAGACGCATAGTATTCCTAAAATCCATTTATGTGTTAACGTGCCTATATATTAAAGAAAATAACCATTTAGTGGGGTGCTTCTTAAAAACGATTGGGTTGCAAGGTATAATTGGTAAGAAGTGCGCTGGTGATCAAGGACAACTCTCTCTAAAAATCAAGCATCGAAAATTCAATCTTTTATAATAATTTGGGGAAAGAAACAAAAGAAGTGGGCAAAATTCGATAAGAATTTTATGCAATGTTGACGGATTCGTTTCAAAGACTGTTTCGGTTTGGTGAGAAAAATGAAGCAATTTGGGGCTTCAGCACTTTCAGAGAAAGACTTCGGTTTTTTTTAATTTAATATAAATAAATTATATATATATATATATAGGACCCTCCCCACTCATGTGTATAGGACTCCAAATGATCACTATTAAATTTGGTACGGATCTATAGAAAAGTCAAGTCCCACACCCATGTGATAACTTTTCTAGAGATCCATACCAACTTTAATGATGATCATTTGGGGTCCTATACACATGGGTGGAGGAGGGTCCTATAAGATCATTAATCATATATATATAATGAAAATTTTCAAAAAACAAAATTACGTTTATATAGGAATTTCTTTGATTAGGCCAAAAAGGCGGAATAACCATGAAGCAGACTCAAATTTGACCGAAGCGGCCTAAATCTGACCGAAACGGTAGTATCAGACTTCGCGTCACTTCGGTTTAGGCCTAAAATCCGAAGACTTCGACCTCTTCGACTGAAACGAAGTGAATTTGACAACACCGATTTCATGCTCCAATGAGGCATATATTATAGACTTAGTCCCTCATACCAATGAGTTGCTTAGTAAGATTTTTTATTTATTTGAAAATTCAGGATCTATGTAAGATTCATCAAATGATTATTTAAAAGGGTATGGTGGCATACCAATGGTATCAGAGCAGGCATGGAGCATGGTGGCAACAAGGGAACTAGCCACGTACCCAGGTTCGTGCAAACCACCTCAAGAACTTATAGAAGCTACTTGCAATACGGTGAAGGTGTGAAACTCGTGTCAAGAACAAGGATGAGCACTTGGAAGACATTTGTAGGAAACAACATTGGTCGTGGTAGTTTCAATGGACCTAGCCAGGAATTCTAAACATAGTGGTGGCATGAGGTACGAACCCTGCAAGCGGGTGCCACTGAGAGAGGCTGAACCATACATCTAAGCATTATCCGTTTGGGCTTCAGGGCTGCACGGGCTAGGAGATGAATTAGCCTCATGGCAGATGGTATCAAAGCAGATTTGATCAAAGGCCATCTTAAGTGAGCAGTGAGATACTGTGAAACCGTTTAGCTAGGGATTAAGCTTCTAGGTGTTGAGATCAACGTACGATCACACCGATCATGGTGTACATGAGCAGTAAAATACTATGAAGCAGATCGGTCGGGGACCGAGTTTCTTGGTGGAAGAAATCTAAGTACAATAACACCAATCATGATGGCGTACCTAGAGAATGCATCTGGAGGGGTCGAGATGTTGATCCATCACAACTACGATGATAGACGGTCATATATAGAATCGTACTTGCAAGGACATGACCTCTAAGAGGTTGTTGACAACAACAAAACCATCACACCCACGAGATAGAATGCTGAGGCATTGCGATAATGGTGCATTAAGGCCAAAAAGGTCATGTTTGTGTTAAAGGTAGCAGTTCAAAACTATATTCGAGAAGGCACCACTTCGAAAGAAGCTTGGGATGTGTTGGCACCACTCTTTGCTAAACAAAGGATGCTCGGTTACAATGAGACCGTTTACCTTTAATACAAAAAAATCACAATTACTTATAACCATCTAATGTGAAATATGATAGCTTAGGTAAATCACAAAGTTCTCAAAAATTTCTTTTGAATGTTGAGCTTGACCAATGGAATAAATGTAATCACCAAATTTCACATCCAAAAGTCAAGATTAATTATGACCATCTTGTACCAAAAGTAAATGATCTCATTTTATACTTTTTCTTTTATCATTAGCAATAAATTTTCATTTCACTTAGTACAAAACCCATGCACAAATATGCAAGCATTTGTTGCATTTCCAAAAATCGAACCGAAGCACAAGAATGTCCAAACAAACTTAAAAAAAGTGTAGCGTAAATGTTTGTCCTCTCCTTTCGCAAGCATTATCAGTATTTATATCAGTTTCTCATCATCACCATAACCTTTTTCCAGCAATTTAGAGTCGGCTATCCATATCAGTTTGTCTACATGAATAAATCACCTCAAGGTTGTTCTTCTTGGTTTGGTGAGCGATTGATGGTAGCGGCCTCCATGAATGCTGTTTTGACACCTTTTCAGATGCTGAGACA